ACTGATAGACTTCATGATTGGAGAACACGTACAAAAAAGGAAGGAATCTTAAGACGGTCATAGCCAAGAAAGCCCTCTGATAGCCAGTGTTGACTCAGTGGTTCATAATCTTTTCAAGTAGTAAGGTCACTTTAAAGTCTTTGGATCACAAACATTTCAAAACTCTTTTAAATGATCAAATTATCTAATACAAAGTGGGGTTTTTCTCCTTTTTTTCACCCAGAATCCAGGTAAGACAGAATTATAAAATGTTTTTTCTTTCTTTTTTTTTTTTTTTTTTTTAAAAGACAGTCTCTGCTGGGCACAGTAGCTCATGCCTGTAATCCCAGCACTTTGGGAGGCCAAGGCAGGCAGATAACTTGAGGTCAGGAGTTCGAAACCAGCCTTGGCCAACATGGTAAAACCCTGTCTCCACTAAAAAATTAGCTGGGTGTGGTGGTGGTCCAGCTACTATAGTCCCAGCTACTTGGGAAGCTGAGTGAGCAGGAGAATCACTTGAACCTGGGAGGCACAGGTTGCAGTGAGCTTAGATCCCGCCACTGTACTCCAGCCTGGGCGACAGAGCCTGACTCCATCTCAAAAAAAAAAAAAGACAGGCAGGGCCTCAATCTGTCACCCAGGCTGGAGTGCAGTGGGCAATCTCTGCTCACTGCAACCTCCACCTCCCGGGCTCAAGCGATCCTCCATCCTCTCGCCTCAGCTCTCAAAGTAGCCGGACTACAGGCAACGCCCAATTAATTTTTTGTTTTGTTTTGTAGAGACGAGGTTTCACTATGTTGCTCAAGCTGGTCTTGAACTCCTGAGCTCAAGCTCAGCCTCAACCTCCCAAATTGTTAGGATTACACACGTGACCCACTGCTCCTGGTCTATAAAGTTTTTTTTTTTTGAAGCGGAGTTTCACTCTTGTTGCCCAGGCTGGAGTGCAATGGCATGATCTCGGCTCACCCCAACCTCTGCCTCCTGGGTTCAAGTGATTCTCCTGCCTCAGCCTCCCTAGTAGCTGGGATTACAGGCCTGCACCACCACACCCAGCTAATTTTGTATTTTTAGTAGAGACGGAGTTTCTCCGTGTTGGTCAGGCTGGTCTCCTGACCTCAGGTGATCCACCCGCCTCGGCCTCCCAAAGTGCTGGGATTACAGGCGTGAGCCATTGTGCCCGGCTACAAAGTGTTTTTTAATCAAACACTTCTGATGTGTAAAATATCAAAAGTAAAAGTTGTCCTACTATTTTCAGCCCCATTTCCTTATCAATAGTTTCTGGTGTACCTTTGCAGATATTTCCAGTGTTGTGTATACAAGTTATAGAAGCCTGTGGGGTTTGGGAGGATTGTAATCATTTTTAAAAATTACAGATTAAAATTACAGATTCATAAATCCTGCAATTTTCTTTTTCATTCAACAACACAGAGGTCTTTTCATGTCCACATACATATACATACATCTACCTCAGTATCTTAAATAACTGCATAGTGTTACAGAGTAATAGTGCATAATTTGGAATCCCCTGTTAACGGATATTTAGATTGTTTCTAGTGTTTTGGTGTCACATATGATATGTTATAAATATTCTTTCTATGTCCTGATGAAAATCAGAGTGCCTTGATTGCTCTCTGACCTAGCCAGCGGCAAGTTTCCCTAGCACGCTTGACCATAAACCTGGGCCTTGAACATTCCCAGGCCGGATAAAGATATCTAGGTTGTTGCCCAAAACACTGAAAGAGGCTGACCTCAACCCTGAGCCAAATTCCTTTAAACTCTCATCTGAACTGACCCTGACCCCCTTCGCGGCGGACAAACCCAGGAACACCTCTTTTCTCCCAGTGTCCGTCTCGACAATCTCTGCAGCCCTCTGTGTTTCCCCCTAAACGCTTTTGGACTGATTGCCTTGGCATTCAGTGATTCTTTCTCGGGCATTTCAACCAGCCACATCTCGGGAAGGCTTGAAGGACTCCCTTGTGGGAACTCTCCTGCCTCTGCTTTTGGAGCAATTTCAGCCTCGGGTTCGAAAGGACAAAATAACTCCACGTTTTGTGCGCGTATACCTATATTAAATTTTCGTAACAAGAATGACTGGATGAAAAGGCATGTGAATTTAAAGTGCTGATGGTTCTTGCCACATTGGCAGGATAGGATCCTTTTGGAAGAGGAAACAAATCAAGAACATGTACAAAAGGATGTGGAATGCTCCTTTTAAGTGGACAACTTTGCTTTCCTCCTTTAACTCCTGTTTCAAGAAAACGGGAGAAAACTGACCCTGGGTACTCTCAGGCTGAATATGAACCTCGTCTCTAGCCTCTGAACCCAGGATCCTTCCTTCTCTGCAAATTTCGGTTACTTTCCACCTCCCCTGTGACTGGGAAAAGCGCTGTTCTTGCCTCTAACCACTTTCGTGTCCGTATTTAGGGGTGCCTCTCTCCTCGGCTCAAGCCCCCGGGGTCCTCTCACCTATGGTTCTCGTTGAGCAGAGAGAAAAGCGGGCCGAGGCGCAGCTCCGCCGCTTGCTCGCGAAGCTCATTGAGCGGCACGGCCTGCAGCACAGAGTGAAGAGCGCGCAGCTCCTCCAGCGGCGCTTCCAGCCTCGCCACCTCCCTCAGCAGCGTCAAAGCCTGCGCCGCCATCTTGCCCCCCAACGCCGGGGTTGGCTAGACAGCCTAGTTCCCGGGATGCTTCCCTGAGCCTCGCGAGATCTGCTGATCACAACATCCCTGTCCCTGAGATTGCTACAGGGCTGCCAAGCCTCGCGATAAGTGTCCGTTAGGGCCTTGTCAACTGTAGCCAGTGGCCGCGGCTTCCTCAGTGTGGCGTCATCTGGGGTGCTGCTCAGTGGATTGCCGAGGCCAGTTTTCCAGTCGGCTTACGTGTTTACGCGGAGGGCAAAGCCTTGTCCCTGCCAGAGCAGCGGCGAGTATGGGGACTCACCGGAAGGTAAACGGCCTCGTCGGCGGCTTCGCGGCTCCAAAACCAGGCTCTAGGCGACGGCGATCGCGGCCGTTATGGAGGCCACTGCGACTACGGCCGCAGCCGAGGCCGCCCCAAGAGGAGCGGAGGCCTGGAGGGGAATCTTGATCCTGGGCCAGACACCTGTCAAGAGGAGGCGGAGCGTCATGCCTCTGGAAGACAGGATGAATATTCTCCAGGAGTCCGACGAAGGCGTGAGTAATAGGGACGTGCGCTGCCTTACTGGTGTTGATCAGTCCATCAAGGAGAAGCAGCTGGGCGCGGTGGCTGTGCCTGTAATCCAAGCGTTTTGGGAGGCTGCGGCGGGAGGATCTCTTGAGCCCAGGAGTTCAAGACCAGCCTGGGCAACATAGTGAGAACCCCGTCTCTACCAAAAAAAAAAAAAAAAAAAAAAAGGAAAATATTAGTGTAGTGTGGTGGCACGCACCTGTAGTTCCAGATACTCGGGAGGCTGAAGCGGGAGGCTCGCTTGAGCCTGGGAGGTCGAGACTGCAGTGAGCTGTGATTGTGTCACTGCACTCCAGCCTGGGCGACAGAGCAAGACCCTGTTACCCACCTCCCCCAGAAAACCAAGAAAGACCAATGTGGAGAGTTGGTCGCCCATCTGCTCCAAGCTGCTGTGTATTCCCCGTAATGTAAACATCGTGAAGATGGAGACCCAGTTAACCTTTTAGGTGGAGGGCCAGATGATGGAGGGCGACATCTGACCCGGAAGGCATTCTGCAACCAGGCCTAACACATCTACAGGGAACCAGTGGGAAACATCTGGGGAGGACAACCCAAATAAGTATCTTGCGAGCAAGGGATAGTTTGAGAACTTTAAAAATCACTGTTGTTTTGCACATATGAAGTTGATGGGGGAGGAAGGACCCTTAAATGCTGAGAGGGCACTGAGTATTCCAAGCAACTGGAGAGAGGTTGTGTGCCTCAACAGGTTTTCAACGCCAAGGAGATGACCCATCTTTCGAAGTGCATGCCTTCCTACTTTTGGTGCAAAAAACAAAAATCTGGAAAGCTTAGAGGAAGCTAAGGACAGGATTTCCCTCATTTTTTGTGGCAGTGCCTCAGGTGACAATGATAAACCACTGTTGCTTTACGAAGGCTCTAATCCCCCACTTGTCTTTTAGAAACAGATAAACACCTTCCTGTTTTCTTGTGATCACACTCAGAATCACCAGTGCCACTTTTTGGATTGGTTTTGTTATTGTTCAAGTCCGAAGTCATTTAACAGAAATAAAATCTGGAAATCAGAATGTTGCTAGTTGTGGACAGAGGTCCCAATCACCCAGCCTCATTATTCATTGTTCTTTCTAATGTTGATATTGTGTTTATCCCTCAGGGAGCCCTAGCTTTCTTCAGCCCTTGGGTCAGGGTATAACTGAAGCATTTGGGAGGTATTACACCAAGCATATGTTTGACCGCTTTGCTGACTGTATTGAAAAAAACCCTCACCTTACTCTGAAAGAAACATGACAACAGTACAATATTGCTGATGCTTTAGTAGTGATAAAAGAGGTGATGGGTGATATAAAATCAGCCACTCTTAAGCTTGCTGGAAAGTTCAGGAGGATGTGTGAATGATTATGCATGTTTCCCTAGAGCTAATGAAGTTAAAAAAAATCTTAGTGTCTGCAAAACAGATGAGTTTAAGATTCATTGATATCAGGAAAGTAAAATTAATGAGCTACTCAAGTTTCATTGTTTGGTCATAACTGAGAGTCTATGTCCATAGGAAAAAGTATTTGCAGACAGAGGAAATTTAATGCTGTCTGATGCAGACCTCACTGATACTATAATTGATATGGATCCTTTCCTCGATCGAAGCATGGCTTTTAAAAGAGATTTCAATAAATTGCGTATACTTATAAAGAGATGTAAAAGAACCTTCAAAATAAAGCAAAGGACTTGAAGAAAGAGAAGGAAGACATGATGAAAAGGATGTCATTTAGGTGAAGGTGATGGATACAGAATCTGAGTCTGAGGGGAAATTTGACTCTGAATCAGGATCCGATAAGGAGCAGGAGAAGATGGAGGATAAGAAGCTGCCAGAAGAAACGTGTGGACCCTCCAGCATGGCACTCAGAGTCATGATATGTCTGAAGAAACTGTCCAAGCCATTAACACGAAATTGAACCTTTGGAATGTAACCTTGGAAGTGAATCTGGAGAGAGTATAGGTACCTGAATTGAAGGACAAAGAGGTTCCAGAGGCCATCCTTCCCTTGTTACCTCAATGTCATTTTCATCAATACCATCATCCTTTTTTCATCACAGCCACACATCTGTATCATTTAATCATTTAACAAACATCGAGCTTAAACTCTGCAGGGCTCTGAGCTAAACTTGGGGACATTGGCTCAGGAAATCATCTCAGAATCTGAGGTAAATGGTCATTAACAGTTCCATTCTTATTAATATAATAGGTATAAAAGGTCATGGTCTTGATTTTAGTGACTTAAAATATAAAGGTTTTTCTTAGGACCACTCAGCCTCATTTTCTCTAACCATATTTCTATAGACAGTAAGTTCCCCAATCACAAATGGCGGTTTTCTGAGTTTACCTTGGTAGTTGACAAGAGGCTACTTGCTCTTGAATAACATGGCCTTACGTTTTATAAGCACTCTTTTTTTTTTTTTTTTTTTTTTGTTGGATTTTTGCTTTGTTGCCCGGGCTGGAGTGCAATGGTGAGATCTCAGCTCACTGCAACCTCCGCCTCTTGAGTTCAAGCGATTCTCCTATCTCAGCCTCTTGAATAGCTGGGATTACAGGCATGCACCACCACACCTGGCTAATGTTTGTCTTTTCAGTAGAGATGGGGTTTCACCATGTTGGCTAGGCTGGTCTCGAACTCCTGACGTCAAGTGATCTGCCCACCTCACCCTCCCAAAGTGCCGGGATTATAGGCGTGAGCCACCGCGCCTGGCCATATTTTATAAGCACTCTTAACATTAATCTCTGTTAATTCTCACTTCAGACCAATGAAGGGGATATTAGACCTTCCTTTATGAGAAAAATCTCCCCTGAAAGCACACAGAAATTAAGTAACTGCCTTGAATCTGCACAACTAACAATATAAATGAAAGGAATAGGTCTACAACTGATTAACTATGGTATTTTGTCAGACACTTTCCTGAAAAGTGTGTTAGGCCTTTAAGAATTTATAATCCCAGGGAATGAAACAGATAGGTGAACAGGTAATTACAATAAATGCAGGGACTGTCAGCTAGCAATCTGCAAGCCAGATTTGATTAACAGATATGTTTTGTTTGGTCTGTCTAGTCAAAAACAATTTTGAACTGCCTTCCACCATTTTGCCCTCTCTGTTTTAAGGTACTATTTACATACGATAAAATTTGCCAACTTAAATGTACTGCTTATTGAATTTTTAAAACACTTGGTATTACTCCTGCCACAACTAAAACATAGAACAATTCTCTTAAACAGTTTACTTATACTTCTCTGCTTTCTATCGCCATCCCCAGAATTGTCATTATTTTTAAAATGAGGATACTTCACATTAAAAAGCTGGATTAAAAATTTGTTAATTCTGACAACAGTGGAGCCTGTGTTCAGAAGGGCAACAGTCAGCCATTAGCTTGCCACTTTTCTTGTTAGTGCTCCCCATAGTTTGTTACATGCTACCACAAAAGTGTGTGCAGTCCAGGTGTGGTGGCTCACACCTGTAATCCCAGCCCTTTGGGAGGTGGAGGCGGGTGGATCACAAGGTTAGGAGTTTGAGACCAGCCTGGCCACTATGGTGAAATCCCATCTCTATTAAAAATACAGAAATTAGCCGGGTGTGGTGGCGCGCGCCTGTAGTCCCAGCTACTTGGGAGGCTGGGGTAGGAGAATTGCTTGAACCGGGGAGGCAGAGGTTGCAGTGAGCTGAGATTTTGCCACTGCACTCCAGCCTGGGTGACAGAGCAAGACTCCATCTCAAAAAAAATGTGTGCAAAGTGCCTTAGGGGCAGAGGACTGTGGGAGAATCTTTGGGATGGCCAGGAAAGAGTTCACTAAGGAGACAGGTAGGGAACAAGAGTGTTCTAAGCGAAGGAGAATTAGAACAGAGATTCTGGGAGGAAGGGGCCAGAGAGGCAGCCATGTGCATGCTTCTCTTGTTTTTATTGGTGGGTTGGGCCTCTCTAAAGTGGAAGAATTTTGTGTATGTGTGTTAGTGTTTGTGTGCTGTAGATTCTGAAGGTTTTGTGTTCTAAGAGTTTATGTCTTTGTATTTGGATGTCTTTGGGGATTTTATGGTTTTTAAAAAATTGTTTGAATGGAAAGCGAAATAGTGTGTTTTTGCAGGTGTTGTAGGTCTGGTATGGTGCTTGTGTTGTTTCAAGGGTGAAGGGTGTCCAGTGGAAATTCCTCCCTCTCTTTGCTGCTCCCTCCACTGTCTCTCTCCTGGTCTCCTTCTGGCAAGCTTGGCAGACTGGGCCAGGGAGAAGCCAGGGCAGTTGGTGGGTGAGAGGTCAGTTTAGGCCCTCAGTGCCCGCCCACTAGCACCTCTGCCCATGGCTGCGATTCACTGCCATGGTGCGGCTATTCACTGCCATGGTTACCTGTGATGCTATAGACAGGCTGGGCTCATGGTATCCTCTGCCAAGCTGCCCATGGCTCTCTGTCTTCATCTGCCTCCTGGTGAGTGCCCTATGCCAGCACACTACAAACTTCTTCATCCGTAAACTCCCAGCCTCAGGACTGAGGGGAATGGAAGGAAGGGAGAAGGCAGACAAATTTCTCTTTAAGGGTCCTGGGGATTTGCGCTGGAGGCAGCCAGGTAAGGGCAGTGAACAGTTTGGTTTCTGGAGGCACCACTTGGTGTCCTGCAGATTGCGGAGTGTTTTCTAGGTTTACTGGGAAACCGTCACTCCCGGCATCTTGGGAGGAGTGACTGGGCTGTGTCTTACTAGATGGAGGAGGGGAAGAGGTATCTGCTGGTGAATCCTCATCCAGGCATCACACAATAGGTCTATTGTAGTTACCATCTCATTTTTCTGTAATTTTCTGGGGGCTTTGTTTTTCTTATCTTGGAAATATCTCGAAGCGTTAAGGTTGGACGTGACTATAGAGTAACTCCAGGTGGTGGAGGGGGGCAGGAAGAACTGTAGGCGAGGGTCAGAAGCCCAGGGTTCTAGCTCAGCTTTGCTGCTCACCTTTTGGGTGATTTCTTCCCTTCTTTGGCCTTTATTTCCTCATCTGTAAAAATTGGCACCAACCAGTGGACCTTAACTTTTTGGGGATCTTAGGTCTCCCTGAGTAGTTTTGTGGAAGTTGTGGATTTGCATCTGAGGAAAGTGTATAGATAAACTGAAAGTTGCATTCAATTTCAGGGGATTTTCGATTACTTAAAACTAGGGTTTTAAGTTTGTTTACAAGGCTGCATTTTCTTCAGTACTGCACATAGTACCTGGTACATGTACAAATGAATGCAGGTGAAATTACTTCCTAAAACATCAATAGGTGTAATAGTTTATCATTCATAATAATCTCCACAGGATGAATGCAGGTCAGTGGATGCCAGTTGATATTACCTCTAGTAGCAGTTTTGTGCAGTAAAAATGGATTCCAAGACATCCAGACTTGTCCTTATCCTGGCTTCACCAATTAAAGCTATGTGATGTTGAGCAAGTTTCTTGATTTCTGGGCCTCTATTTTTTTTCTTCATCTGTGAAATGCAGGGGAAAATATCTAGATATGAAAATGGTCTAAACACTAAAGCTTAATGCAGATCTCAGGGATTAATTTGTGGAAGGGGATGGGGATTTTAAAAATGACCCCAGGCTTGTTTCCAATCTGCTTGAGCTGGGAGGCATTGAATTGGTAATGTCACTGATCCGTGCTTTTATTTTTCCCTCATATAGATCCTGGCAGCTTCTTTTCTGACACACCACATGCTCATGTTCAAGGCCCTTATCGTGCAGCTCCACTCACCTGTGACCTGCAGCTTTGTCTTTGGCACTTACTGCATCATCTCTGTCAACTGTTCCTATGAGAAAATTGCCAGAGACATTGTCAGGTATGGTGAAAGGGCTTAGGTGTGGCCCCAGGAGGCTCAAGAAGCTACGGGATGCTCCAGAGGGACCACTACTGTGCCCCTCTCTTGCTTCCGACAACACTGTCCATCCAATGATGAACTGTGATTTATTAAGCATGTTATGGGAACTTTAAAATACCTCATTCAGCAGAAAGGAGGCAGAGGATTATAATCCCCATTTGACAGACAGGATACTGAGGCCCAAGTCCTCATGCTTCTTCAGTCTGGAAAGTGAAGAGAACTTGCACTGTGTGACAAGGGCCAGGCGAAAGAAACAGGAGAGGAGAGATTCCTGTAGACCTGGGCTGTCAGGGAAGATCCCTTGGAAAAGGTCAGTGGTTGAATTGTGCCTTGAGGGATAGAGAGACTTTTTTTTTTTTTTTTTTTTTGGAAGCAAGAATAGAGAGGCTTCTGACTGATCAGCTGGAGTAGGTGGAATCTTCTAGGTGGACAACAGAATACAGAGATATTGGGGGGGGGTTTGTTTTGGGAAGAGATATGCATGGCACAATAAAAATAGTTGGCATTTAATGAAGGCATACAGTGCCACCTGGTATACTGGGTAAGTGCTTGTGTACCTTGTGTTAGTAAATCCCCAGCAGTCCAGTCATGTAGGGCCTTTTTGTTATTTGCTGTTTTACAGGAGCCTTTAAAGGAAACTAAGTGACTTGTCCATAGTCAGACAGTTAGTAGGGGCAACCTTAGAATTTGAGCCCATGTCTGTGAGACTCTAAAGCTATCTGGCCTAACTGATCACTTGTTGACAGATGGGAACATAAGTTGGAGAGTGATAGGCCATGGGCCTGGATAGGTGGGCTGCAGCAGGTTGCAGAGGGCCTCCAGTGAGACTGGCCAGTTGGGTTTTATCACGTGAGTTGATTCTAATCATAGTCACTCACAGAGCTTTACTTTCTCTCCAAAGGCTGTACATCCTTTTGAAATCTCAGAGGTCTTTAGGCTCCCTGTGGATCAAGGAGATGTGTACTATTTAAAGTGGCTTGAGGAAAGCATGGAAGAGGACTGAGTGGGCGAAGCTTTTTGTGCATGCTGCTGGCTGCCTACAGCCTTCATCAGCTGCACTCTGGGGAAGAGGGGGCCTCCTTCTACCTCCCAGCATCTCTGGATTCCATGTTCCTGTCAGCGCAGAGGGCCAGTCAGGTCAAGCAAGAACCCAGTGTAACTTGTCTCTGAGTGCTTCATGGTTAAGGGGGATCGGGGATATGAGGGCACGAGGATGGTTGTGTGGAGACTGAGGGCAAGAGGCAGTGACGGTAAGACTTGTCATCTTCTTGAGTCACTAGGCCTACTGAAATGCCTAGGATGTAATTGCTCTGCTGCTTCTCATGGGGAGGAGTGGCCCCAGTGACCTTGTTCACCTGGAAGAGTGTGGGATGAATGCCTCCTCCTAGGGGGACTGGCAAGTGCTTTATCAAAAAGATAAATTGCTAATGGTGCCATCTCATGGATCAGCAGGATTATTTCTCCTTGCTAAAGAGGCTTTTGTGGCTTCTGAATTCTGACGATGTGGGACTAGGAATGGGCTCCATGAGCTTGTGTATAATTCAGGGAATATTAGGACTTTGGCACAGCCTCATGGGTTGGGGGTAAGTCTTGGCTCTTCCCTAGTCGGAATGACAGACATCAGGTCATTCTGGTGCCTTGTCAGTGAAGACGTAGATTCTGAGCCCACCAAACTAACCTTTTCCCTTGAGCACAGAAGCAGCCCCAGGAATCAGACCCGTGTCTTTCAGGTTTGCTTCACAGAGCCCCAGAGGTTGACAAAAGGTACCTTGGAGGCTCCCTACAAGGGGATTTTTTAAAAAGCTTTGTTAAAGATTTGTAAACCACCCCTCTGAGCCAGTTTTCATTTTATAGATTACTGCAGGAAACTGAACTGCATGGAGGCCCAGAAAGGGGGTGGTGCAACCTGGGCTGCTCATCCTCTGTTTCATGCTCTCGTGTACTTGCTCCATGGGTTTGTGGCAGAAGAGGGCAGGGAAGGCAGTGGCCTGCCAAGCCGCATGGACTAAGAAGGGAAATTTGCCCCAGAAACCCCTCTGAATCTGTCATGAGGTAACTCCATTCTGTGGAGACCATGGGCAGTTTGGGTGGGGGTCTACAGATAGCTGTTATATCTTGGGTCCATCCTTGAGGGGAGGGTGTGCAGGAAGGCTAATGCCAGGCTGTGGTTCTGACAATTACTGTACTTCTTGGATCTTTGTGCTCCCAAATATCAAATGGAAGATCTCTGAGAGTCCTTTGCAAAGATCTTGTAGGGACTTTAGGCTGAGGCCCTTGGAATGTTCCAGAGGGTTCCAATGGAGATTTTGAGAGACTGCCTCAGAAGAACAAAGAGAATGATAGTGGTGATGTCCCTTGCTTTTTACAACAGATCATGTTCTGATAGATATACAAATCTGTGTAAAGTAGACCCTACCTAAATGTACTGGGGATCCAAGACATACTGCCTGTATTGCTTCCAGGAGAAAGTCCAAGTTCTAGGTCTGGTTTTTATAACCTTGCTTCAGCTCACCTTTTCTGTCATCATCCCCTGCATCTCCTCTCTCACTTTGGGAAATGGATGGCTCCACTATACTGTGTGATGTTATTCCTGTGTTCCTGCTGTCTCCTCTGCCCGGAATGCCCTTCTGCCTGAATGCTTGTGAAATGTTGCTGCTCCTTTGTATGGCCTGGCTTCCGTGATTGGGAGGAATCTCTTCTGTTGTGGTATTTCTGTCATCTTTGTGCATCACAGTCGGCTTTATATTCCTAGGTTGTAAGCTGCTTGAAGATAGGGGCATGTCTGAATCTATTTAATCTGTCATACCTGTTTGGCAAATTGATGTCTTAAGTATTTAATTAACTAAAGCTCTCTCTACAGTACATAGTCACTTTTGATTTATGGAATTAGCAAATTCAACTTTTTTCCTTTAATATTCTTAAAGTGAGACTAATTCCAAAGGAGATTTTTCTGTCTGTGGCCTTCACTGGGTGGTTTTCTGTTATCAGAAAACTCCTGGTGGCCTTCCTCTTCCCTGGTGTCAAGTTGACTGTTGTAGGAAACGGGAGGGGAGAGGGCCATTTCTGCCGGGCATTGTCCTCGGTTCCTTAACACTAATCCTTATAATGCATTGTTATCCTCATTTTACAGATGAAACCTGAGATCAGAGAGCATGAAACACGTAAAGTATTTGGCAGAGCTAGGATGTGAACCCAACTCTGATTCTAAACCTAATGCTCTTACTTTTTCTCAGAGGTTCACTGAGTTCTTTGTAGGCCATAGATCCAGAGAAGCTGCTGCAGCCAACAGTAAAATTATTAGTTCTTAAAACATCTATGCGGTAAGTTGGTCTGGCACTTAAAAATGTATTGTTTACTACTCACCACAGATCTTCAGGAGTTCACTGATCTCTACGGTCTGCCTTAACTCCAACTTATGTGGTTTGGCCACTATTACATACTGTCATCCCAGAATGATGCTGCAGAGGCTGGGGCTAAGACCCAGTCCAGTGTTTCCATGTGGGAATTCCCTCCCAGTATTTCTTAGGAAATATATGTTTTTTGAATCCATAATCACTAGAAAAATCAGTTGAGGAAATGAGAAGTATTATAGTTATTCTGTGAATACTAACACCATTATAGAGACATTACTGGTTTGAAAGAATCCAGCTTCATCAAATATAACATACTGAGTTGAAGGCTACAAGAACAGAGACAGGAGCATAGCCGAGAGAAATGATCACCATCTAATTAGTCTTACTTTTGGTTGCTGTGATGTCACTAAGTATGTATGTCTGGCCCTATTGGCTGCTAATGGTGAGTTCTTGTGAATAAAATGATTTGATAAACAACCTAGCATACTTGATACAAATCTTATGAATGGTGTTCCGAGAAATAAACTTTGGAAGAAAAATAAGTTAACAGTCTGGACACGATTGATTCTACATACTGTTTACCTTGCTCTAGGATATTCAAATGTTATATTTATTTGAATGCTATCCAATATACGTTCCCTGGCATCTTCCTTTTAAATATTCTCTATAAGCCACAGTTCTTTGTAAGTACAAATAAGCTTAATATATCTACTTAGAAAATAAAAGTTTTTCTAGATACCTATAATAATGAGGAAGAGTATAAAGAATAAAGTATTTTAAGAATAACTTACTATTTGGGGGATTTCTGAGAATTCTACTTCCTTGTCCCTAAATTCCAAAGATAAATGTTGTGAATTTGGAAATACTAGACTACAGAGAAGCAGGCACTCTCTAGCCTGGGAGGCCCACTGATCTTAGGAGGGTCCATGTAGCTGCTTACTGTAGACCTTGCATTAGAACCCAGGTCTTTTGACACCTGATGTCATGCACTTTTCATTCCATTCATTTCAGCCCAGAGAATAGCCACCACCACCCCCAGCTCCCACTGGAGTTTTATTCTGAGGACACATAAAAGGTTGAAGCTGAAGGAGTGGCAGAAAGAAGTAGGAGCCACAGTGAATGAAGACGTTTAAGGGCAGACATTAATACCACTAAGCCCTTCACTCAGGATTACAGGCTACACTTTACCCTGAAACTTTAGAATTCAGTGGAATCCATGGCCTTTACCTCCCTATTAGATGACCTTTTTCCTATCCCTTCACATCTCCTGTTTTCTTTTTTTTCTCCAAACCACCCTTAATTTAGAGGTTTATTTTAAAGTAATAATCGGTGACACACAGGAAAGTCTCTTCCAACACCTGGGGAGCAGGTGTGCTGGGATTATTAATGGCATTTGAAGGGTGAAAAAACTGAAGGAAAGGAATCTGACTAAAGTGGCACAGGTTAGAACTAGCAGTCAGGCCTAGAACTCATTTCTTATTTATTTCTGGAGTTGTGTGATGATGTACTGATAGTTTTATTGTGCCTGGACCTAAGTATTATAATAGGGTAATAAGTTCATTTCTCATCTTTTACCTGTCAGTGGCCCTCAACTAATGTTTTTTGCCACCATAGGTTGGGTACTCACAAAAGATTCCATAGTATCTCTGGCAGTAAGGGTGAGAAAGTTGCTGGCAGTGGTAGGAGTGGCAGGGTGGCCAGAGGACAGGGTCCTGCCATTCCTCCTTAACCTCCAATAAACCAACAGCAAAAGACAGAGCCAACTCCTTCTGCTTCCCAGCAGCTAATTCACTACAGGGAAGACAGGTGATTGTTCAAAGGGAGCTTTTAAATCATAAATCAGACACACTAATTATAACTTTAACAAATGTTATTAAAAGCAGCAATTAAAAACCATGAACGTTTTTGAAGGTGCAGAGGGTTATAAGGTCAGTTGGCAGTAATGCAGCTATTATCTGGTATGAATGAAATGCTGGGGTGGGGAGTCAGGGTGACCTCATTAGGCCTTGTGCTGTCCTCCCAGGTGGTGAAGACACCCCCTCCCTGCTTTTCCCTCTCCAAGCCCAGAGCCTCTCTGGAGCCCAGGTAGGGAAGGACCAGATGTACTGTAACAGGATTGCTCATCCCAGGCTGTCTCAGAAATCTGGAAAGCAGGCCTAGGAGGTTGCTGGGCTCTCTGAAACCAGGCAGGACGCTACAGATTGGATCCCAGGTCCCACAGCACCACTGGGCTAGGGGCTGGCTTCTTAGCTCCCCTTCCACCTGGCCCCAGTTGGCCCCTGTGGCAGCAGCTGTGGGGCTGAGAAGGGGGAAGAACTGGGTCTAAGGCCAGCTCATCTATGCCTGGGCTGTGCCAGGGAAGCAGAGTAAAGTGGGTGGGCTGTGTGTAGGAGGTGAGGTCCCTCTTAAAAGGCACTGTGGGAGCTGAGGTCTAAGATGGGGGGCATCTAAACTATCTCAGGGACCCTCTGAATGCTCATAGGTAGAGGGGACAGGCCTAGTAATGGAGAACAGCTCCTGCAGGCCTGCTGCCCCACCAGTGCCTCTTGCTGTACTATCACCTTCGCCTTCCTGCTGGTGGCCCACAAAACCAGCCAAGCTGGAGGCCACAGCAGCAGTTGGCAAGGCTGGTCCCCATCTGGTGCCCACCCTCCACCTCAAGGCACTTTTGTCCATTTTCCAATCAAGTGAGTCAGTTTCTAATATCTCTGGAAGCAGCAAAACATGAGGGGTCCTCTTCCCCCTCCCAATTTTGGTTTCCCTCCAGATGAGGCAGAATTTGAATGCTGGTTCCAAAAATTCTCTTTCAAACCCCCACTGGCAAGGGCTTCTCTTTGAGGGAACTGGAATGATGCAGGCCCTTTAAAAATCACAACCTATCCAAAAAAGTGATTGTCCGTTTCAGGGAAGGGCAAGGGATATGAAAGAGGGTGAGTCCCCTATGCTTCCCTATGGGACCAAAGGTGGTTGACGGGCTAAAAGGGGCGGGAGCTGAGCTTTCACATTCCATATAGAGGGCCATGGGAAAGCCAAGGGTGGAGCCAGCTGGCCCAGAGGGACTGTGTGTACACCTGGGCATGTGGTGGTGTGGCTGTGTGTGTGCCTAGGGCAGAAAGTATAACACACATGGGTGGAAGCCTGTGGGAGTGGGTGTGTATTGTCTGCTGGGTGGTGTCTGGTGGGTCTGGGGATGGGAGGCACCAGAAACAGGTTTAGCATGACATGGTTTCCCTCCCACCACTACCACCCTCCACCCTGGTCCCCCAGGTTTTGAAGGATGCCTCCATTCCAACAAGGCCTGGTCCAGCTCTGTGGCGACTGAAGGGAGAGCGGGCAGGGAAGAGACGACTTCTGGAACCTCCAAAGCTGACACTGGCAGCCTTCACTCTCAGCCTTAATACCTGGGCCCTGGTGCTAGTGCCTTCTGAGGCAGACACAGCCCTTTACTCTTCAGATCTTTGCGAGCTTTCAAAGGGGCTTTCTCCCACCCCGCCACCTCTCTCCAAGGGCAGTGGGGAGTAGCCGGAAAGTGGAAGAGAAAAGCACTGAGCGGCATCCTCTTATCCATCTTCTCCTATGCTCTCTCAAAGGCACCTGTTATGTAGTCCCTGGAGGACTAGTTGCCCCATGAGTCAGGTGTGAAGGGTATCCAGTGGAGGGCCTGGATGTGCAAACACACCCAAAGGGGCGAGAGAGGTCAAGGCACACAACTGGGACAAAGACCTGGGCCTCAAGAGGAAGGGTCCCAGAGCAGGGGACACAAGGTCAGAGGAAGAGACAAACAGAGTCTGAGGGGGTGTGGAGCGTGTAGAGACACAGGCACAGGGGTGGTGAGCCTGAGGAGGCCCTGGGGCAGAGCTGGTACAGCAGAGAGACACAGGCCTTGGCTGGGCAGGCAGGCAGGCGGGCAGGGCCTTCTGCCAGGCACTTGCAGCTCTGTCCTGCTTCCTTCTCCCACCCTAGCCTGGAGAAAGCTGGGGAGCCTATGGCTTCTGCTGCCCCTCCTTTGGTTTTCAGGGCCCCTGGCACCCCCTGAGGGCTATTCAGTAAGGGGTGGTCCCTTCCCACTCCACCAGGTACTGAACCTTGCCCTCAGGTGTGACCCTTCGAGCCAACACCTGGTACTTCTCCCCACAGGCCAACCGCCCAGCCGCACCAAAGTAGTTGGTGATAGATGACTTGAGGTGGGACAGGGACGAGTCATCTTCACTGATGCTCTCAAATGTGTGGCTGTCAATGCCTTCGTCTGGCCGCTCAGGAACCGAAGCCCCCTCTGCACTGCTGTCCGAGGGGCAGCGTCCATCCAACTCAGCTGCCCACCGCTTTGCCCGCAGGGGCATGTATGCCTTGGCTGCCAGCTTCCTCTTTCTGCTGCCCACTGTCCATCTGTATCGGGAGCGGGAGAGGAAGATGATCAGGAGTGGGAGAGATAAATTCCTTTCCCTGAGCCCATTCCTAGTACCAGGCGCTGTGCTAGGCCTTAGGCATAGATTATCTCACTGAATCCTCATGAGAGTCCTGCAAGGAGGGAAACTGAGGATCCAGAGGAGAAAACCAGCTAGGGAGTGGCAGAGCCAGGATTCAAACCTAGGAATGTCCAACTCCTAAACACATGCTCTTGCAGCCAGGATCCCAGCACTGCACAAGTGTGAGAGCACCATTCACTGAGCCTCCTGAGGTCGTGCAGGGCAGAGGCCCTGCTTATTCTGCCTTGCCCCTGACCAGACTCATGGAGCTAGATAGGTCACATACGGCTAGGGTTTAGGAACTGAAGGACCCTGTATCCCAGAGCCTGGATGCAGAAGTGTTAAGAGAAATGGACACACAGACACACATGACGAGGCATACATTCAGATGCTTAGAGACAGAAACCAAGACATGAAGTGCTGGTGAAAGCCAAAGAAACAGGAAGAAATTGGCTGAGTGTGGTGGCGCATGCCTGTAGTTCCAGCTACTCAGGAGGCTGAGGGATGAGACTCACTTGAGCCTGGCAGGCGGAGGCTGCAGTGAGCTGAGATCATGCCACTGCACTGTAGTCTGGGCAGCAGAGCGAGACTGTCTCCGACCAACCAACACACAGGAAGAAATAAAAATACAGAGGCAACAGCAGAGGACACCTAAACAGATGTCAAGAGACACAGACTCTAAGACCTCTACAGGCATTATACCATTATGCCTTTTTTTTTTTTTTTTTTTTTTTTTTTTGGTGCGATGGAGTCCCACTCTTTTCACCCAGGCTGGAGTGCAGTAATGCAATCTCAGCTCACTGCAACCTCCACCTCCCCAGTTCAAGTGATTCTCTTGCCTCAGCCTTCCGAGTAGCTAGGATTACAGTTATGTGCCACCATGTCTGGCTAATTTTTTGTATTTTTAGTAGAGATGGGGTTTTGCCATGCTGGCCAGGCTGGTCTCAAACTACTGACCTCAGGTGATCTGCCCACCTCAACCTTCCATACTGCTGGGATAACAGGTGTGAC